CAACAGGCGAGTAGGTTGTTACATGCATGGGCTCGTCAAAATTAAGACTGTTGCGGTTGAATGTTTGAACGCGATAACGTTAGAGTGCACGCTCAAAAAAAAAAAAAAAAGAATCAGCCTGTATCAAAATTGGAAAGAAATCGCCACTTTTATACTTTTCAGGAAAAATTACTTCAAGTCACGTTTGGTGCCTTGTTAATTTTAAGCGGATAGCAAAATTGTGGTTCACGCAAAGAGTTGTGGGCTACGGCGCCCGTCTGCATCGACTTCCGGTTCGAGATGCCGTGCTGCCGTACAGGCGTTCTTGCCAGTGCCGTCGCTTTCGGCGTGTTCTACCCAGCACTCACGGTGCCCTTTCCCCACAAATCACTTTAAATACTTCGCAGTTTAGTTGAATAACAAATGCAGTTACCATGAGATAGTTATAACCGTGCGAGCGGGTTTTTTTTTTATTCAAGCGGCATGCATCTTCGAACACATGCTTTTTTTTTGCTGCAAAAGGTGTTATCACGTCTCTTTCGTCACACACGATTATTTTCTAGTCTTCATATCATCACGAATTATCCGTCCACTCGTTTTCATGCTGCTTACCTGTAAAATTATTTATTTGCTTTTCTGTTACAAAGACACCCGGGTTCGATTTAGTGAATGGCAATAGTAAACAGTTTCATACTCTGAAGATGAAATGCGCTCGTAGGTTTCTGGCTTTTTCACACCTTTTCATCTTCCTAACGTGAGATCTCGTTCACTAACACACTCGAAGATTGCCTTTCTATATAATGGAAATTATCCGCGCACAACATACATGACACAGCATATCGGCACCTTACGCTTGCAAGTCCGATACAATAAAGACGCCATACCATGCTACTCGTTGCTTCGAAAGCTACTCCGATCGTTTTACGCCCCACGGTAGGCCGTTTCGTCCCGTGGGTCTTCTACGCGTTCAGTGGTTTCCATAAATTTGACAGAGTACGCGTACTTCTGTGTCATCGAACGTATGTTGACATTCGGCAGCATGTACCCATAAGTGCGAGTGATATTTAAGTGGTCACCGTTTGTGCTCGAAATCGCTAAATCGAGGTGGTTCTGGAAAACATTGCTGCATGTTTCAAAGCATAATCGCATGCTGCGTTCGAAACCTGCCTCTTACCGTTCTCATGTGTTAGCGCATTTCCACTTCTTGCTTCGTTCTCTGAAATGCGCGAAATATCGTCTATCCATTCGCAAATGAAATAAAGAAAGAACATAATCACTGAACAAGCGGCGACAAACGCGTCACAGAATTTCATATGTGCGCAGTATATAGGCACCTTGAAGCAGCGCAAGTAAAGACCTCGAACCAGAAGTACCGTAACAGACGATGCGCCATTTTGCTATCCACAACGTTGAGCCTGCCGGGCAATGAGAATCGGGAACATCGTAAAATCTGGTTTCGTCAGAACCGATCTTTAACTGAATAAACATCCAGGGATGATTGGTGAACTTTCATGGTCAGTTCGAAAAGTCTGACCAGAGATTTCATGCAGCGACAAGCGATTTTGCTGCTGTTGTCTACACGTTCATCCCTAAGATTCTGCAACGGATTCGCTTGCTTGGTCGTGCCCGTGCATTCGTCGGCTCCTTTTATCCAGAGCGCTCCTCTTTCTCCAGAGCGCTCCTCCTCCTCTAGCTACGGAGTATGGCCAATCCAACACGCGTCCATCCTTACCACAACATTATCCAACGTACTACAACCGATGGCGTGCAAACCATTAAAACAGGGGGAAAAACACGTATATACGCTGGTGACGTGACGGTATGGCGACCCACTTCTCTTTGGACCATCAAACGCGGGCACTACAGGTCGTAGTTGATGACACGTTTGCCTGGTACACTTCAGTGAGAGACACACTCGCACAAGAAAAGACTGCCAGCATGAGCACTGCCAATAAAAGAGGCCAGCGCAAAGCATGACCTAGCCCCTGTAATTGATACGACTTACGCTCGAGTCTCCACGGTAGCGTTCTCGCAGAAAAGTCTACAATCGGCGTCGTCGGGGCAGGCGTTTCTGCATCTGGATCAGCCCGATGATAACGATGACAACGGTTCCAGAGAAGAACGGTACAACCCACTACGGGGGATAGGCCACGAAACGCGCGGCAGTGGGATTTGTGAAAGAAGAAAAGTAACAAATGAATGAGAGAGAGAAGGAAAAAGTCGGCCCGGCAGGCATGTAGCCACACTTTTTTTTTTTTTCGAGGAGGGGCAGCCTCTCAAAATGTCCATTCATTTTTCGCTGTCTAACCTCTATGCCATGACAAAGAAAAGGGGGGGGGGGCATGTGCTTGGTGTGCCACCCCCTGGCTACAACCCTGCGACCCAGGGAAGGATATGCGAAAAAAGATCTATAGGGAGGCAAAAATATTTGTGAGAATTTTGGTGTCTTTCATACAAAGCTACTTAGAGTAATGCTAAACAATTGAAATACTCAATTTATATAGATAAGCTTGATAGATAAATGAAACAATATTTTATATGTACTGATACTATTAATGTTACAATATCTTTGTTTCTTTCGTGTAATTAAATACAGCATCATATATGCCCCTCTTGCAGCACATTATAGTGCCAGCACCCCCAAGGAGAGTTATACCGATGTAGAAAGCTCAAGGCCACTTACTTGAAAAGCTGGTTTCAAAAATGTTTGCCTTAAGTTTTGATATATGTGACATTCAATAAAGAAGTGCTCGATCGTTTCTACTTTATTACTATAGTTAAATTGAAGGGGAGGAATGAATCCAGGCCTGTGCAAGTAAAAATTGAATGATGGTATTGTGAATCACAGTTTTGTTAACTTCCAAGTTTTCTTGTGCTCCACCATGAGAAATTCCATGGAAATCTAAGGTGCTGAAAATTTGTGTTGCTTAGGGCCGAATATTTAGTACGGTCCTCGTGCATGCAAAAGTTTCTGAATCGTGCAATTGTATTATTGCAGGATGGTTTTGAGAACACTTAGGAAAGTTCTGTTAACGAATGCTATCGCTAAGGTGTTGCCGCTTCATTTAATGCTAATCCAGTGTGGCTTGATACCCAAACCAGACGGATGTGCCGTACATGATCAGGCATATGTGAATTAAGTTCTGTGAGGCAGCTCAACGAGTGAGATGCTGTTAGAGCAGTGCACAAATACAATGAATCTGTTAACATCACAACTGAAGAAATATGTTGTTGGGGTTTATGCAATGCAAGAATAATTGCCATTAGTCTGCCTGGAATATTGGTGTGAAGTCGGGCAAGCGAAAAGAAATTGACCGAGTGATGTTGAATAAATTCCCACTCCAGCAACAGAAGAATCTGTGGCTACTACTGAATTTATCTGCACGCTTTTGAGGTGGACTTCCAACAACCTTTTTAAATACCTACAGGGCAAGAGGTTGGCATTCTTTAGAAATATATCATCAAATTCAATTACTGCAGTATGATTAAGTACGCTTGCCGTTGTTGAAAGAGCTTCGCTCTGCATGCAAGACCGTCTCCGTCTTGCATAATCTTTTTCTCCGCACCGTGCAGGGAACTGGTGGAACGCAAATTCGCAACAGTGACTAGTAAGCTCTGTGTTCATGCATCGATTGGTGCACCGGCAAAGCACAGTTTCAGAGCTTCACCAAGGCAGAGTGGGCACGACAGGAAATTCTCCATTGAGATGACATGCATGTGATCACAGGCTTTCCAACGTTCCACCTATTCTGACACTCCAGACAGAAACACAGCCCAGCACGCCGGATGATCGCGCTCAAGTGTAGAGCGGCAGAGGCGTATAGCCCGTTTTTTTTTTTTTTTTTCAGTGGGATGGGAGAGTTCAACCACCCTGCGAACGTACGCTCGTGCATTTGCTTGTATATGTGCTGATGCAAAATTGAAAAATTCGTTTGCAGGAGTCGGGGGTATGGACCTCCAACCCTACCTGGCTACACCTGTGCAGAGCAGAATCCTAGGTAGAAGTTCTGTACTATAACTCACCACTGCAGTCTAGCGGTTATAATGCTCAGCTGCTGACCCAAAGGTCGCGGGCTTAAATCCCAGCTGTGGCAGCCGAGATTCGATCTTGAGGCACATGTACTTACATTTAGGTGCACGCTAAAAAACCCCAGGAAGTCGAAATTATCGGAGCCCTCCACTACGACGTCTTTCATAATCATATTGTAGTTTTGGGTCGTTAAACCACCAAAAAAATTATTTCCCATAACAATGCTTACAAAGCACTATAGACAGCTTCGTTCAACTAGAATTTAAAAAAAAACTAGGTTACAAAGGTTTAGTGTTGGTCCCTTTAAATCTTAACGTGCACAAAAGTTCAGAACATCAATTCAGCTGCTGGGAAATCTTCTGTTGGCTTAGGCACTCGGCTGGAAGAAAATGTATTTTTATTAACAGACAAATGTTGTTCAACATCACAATCATTACACGATATAATGTCAGTCTAATGCGTACCTAATGCGAGTCTACTAATAATTGGCCACTGATAGTCCATAGAGTCGAGACGTTAGAGTTTCTGATGAGCATTGTCTAGCGCAAGTCTATAGAGTCCAGACATGTGAGTTTCTGATGACCATTGCCTAGCGTTAGTCTATAGAGTCCCGACGTGCGAGTTTCTGATGGCCGTTGTCTAGTCAAGTGTAATTGAGCATATGCATTAGGTTGACTAATGCCCTATGCCAACAAAAAAATTTTTGCTGTACGCAGGTCAATAAATATTTTTGTTGTTAATACGAAAGCCTGCACACATTACAGTATTGTAAAGCAAATACTAGCAGATCATTTCCACCAATGAACAGATCATTGTTTTTTACATGTCTGAATCTTTCGAGGCTGATAAATAATGCTAAAAGTATACAATGTACACATTTGGAAACATGCATTACACAGTCAAGCCATTTAGTTTCAATAGGATAATAAATGGAGCTAGTTCGTTCAGTTTTACAATTCTTGTACAAGCACACAGATGATGCAACACCTAATGAGACATTTGCAGAAGTGCACTTTTATTTAATTTTCCAACTTTGCACTGATGATAGGGTGTCTTGTTGCACTCTCTTCCTGGCACCGCTGCTGTATTTAAAACCTGCAAAAGAGAGCGTGAAGACTTTGTTGGCATGAAGCATACGTTTTAGTCCAGCACGTGAATAGACATTGGAATTGATGACTCATGCCTTTTTTAGAATAGTTATAGTATTTTTATCAGTTTTATTGAATAATCCGTCTGTATTCAATGCCGAACCACAAAGTCTTAACTTCATGCTGCTTTTTATAAAAAAAATAAGATAGGAAAACTAACCACTACACAACAGTTTAGAGGGCTGCAGATACATCAGCAATCGGAGAGAGAGAGAGGCCAGCTATCACGGACAGTGGAATTAGCTGAGTCAGCTTCTCCAATGTAATATATCAGAATAACTCCCTTTTATGATTCCAATGACACTTCATGTATAACTACGGCATCCATCAGTGGGTCTATTTCTCAACTTGGCTTTACACAAATCTTCCACATTGAAATTCCTCTTCTTTAACAGAGAGCTACTGGGAGCTCATGCTCAGAGGTGCAAAGTCATAGGTGTGAGCAGGGTTTCCCTACACTGGGGTAACGAGGAAATTCACCTCAATGCCCCCCCCCCCCCCCCCAAGTTATGTAAGCTGCCAATTTTGTGGCCCCCCTCTTAGGTAACTAGGTGGAAGGCGCAATCCCCCACCCCCATGCACATGCCTATGTGCAAAATGAGATTGAGCAACAAACAGGCACATGTAATATAGAGCTACGTCTTGGTGATACAGCTCCAGAAATCTTGACTAGTGAAAAGAATAGTAAAATGGCGCTTTCTGTAACCTAAAATATATTACACAGATATGCATGTTCCAATGTGTTACAGGTCATTTCTACATATATCCTATAAATTGCAGATTAGAGGAAGCAAGCCAAAACATTTTTGTACCTTTGATTACTTTTGCATATTATTTGATAGCTAAAAATACATTATTAAAGTATCTTGAAGAGGTGACAAAAGTTTTATAAAAATGGAAATACTTTTTTTTTCCTAGCTCCATGCTTTAGAGTACAGTGCACAGTTGCCAATGTTCACTAGTAAATATTGGAAATTATGAAATTGATCGCTGCTCATTAATAAGCAGAAGAGTCCACACAGGGGTATGTTAGTACTTGCTGAACATCTTGATAGGATAAGGATAGCAACCCTTTCTAAAGAAAATTTCAACAGCAGGAAAAAACATGAACAATCAAAAGGGCGGCAACAGGAACTAGCGCTAGTTCGTGTCGCCTCCCTTTTGTCTGTTCATATTTTGCCGTACCTTAGAAAAAATTTCTAGGCGATGAATTACCAACCCAACCAAACACTCGTGTTAATCAAGTATATAAGGAAAGAGCACATAGCAGTGTTGAACTCATGACTTTTTCAGAAATCGTGCAGATGCCAAAAACATTACCTGAACCCACATATTGTTACAAAGGTAATACAATTTAAAGTGTATGTACGAGCTAAACATAGAAATAAAGTGTACACTCAGGAGTGAACAGGGCCATGAGCTAAGACATCAACACAAAAAGAATAATGAATGTAGCTGTCCATGTATTTGCTTGCACTCCTGTTTCCTCCCAAGTACGAACCAACAAGCCCAGTATTGTTAACATATATATACTTCCATAAGAGTATAAATTCATTCAATGATTAAACTTGCAGTGAAACAAGGCTGTTCAAGGCGCTTTCACACATATTATACTTCTGTGTGGTAGGCCTCCACCTGTCTTGTGAGCTGTGTTACATATACAGATTCATGGCATTTTCATAGACTGTTGTGAGAACATGTTCCAAACAATGTGATGAAACATGAGTATGAGCACCTTCCAAGAAAAGCTGTCCTCAATTCAGATGATCAAACTCTCAGACATATCGATTATCTGAAAAGGCTTTGTTAGAAAGAAATAGGTACTTGCATGTTGCATGATTTTACTTGAAACAAGCACTACAACCTATAAAAATAGCTCTCATCTGCTCCTATATTCAGCTCATACACATAAAAATTTAAAAACCGACTGAAACAACAACTGCTGTAACTTCCTTAAGCAGGAATCCTCCAAATTCTTGTGGCAGCATGTGCACATAGCAAAAGTGCACTTATTTAACTTCACTACAATTTTTGGACTTCAAGGTTGTTTGCTGTCCCCTTAAAAGGCACCAGAAATTGAATGAGATTTGTACGTGAAAAAAAAAAAAGAAACTTGTTAAAGGAATGTTTTGTTTTCATTACAGCAAAAAAATGTTGAAAGTAAAAGCAATCATCATAACAATACGCGAAACAACATTATTATAAGTAAGATAGAGGACACTTGAAGAGGCAAACAAATCCTATAAGAGGAAATGTCGCTGCAGCCAACCTTCCAACTTATGCGATATTTAGCACAGTGTAACACAAAGACCAGGAGAGAAGACACAACACGTGCCCTAACTTTATATAAAATGGTTTATTGCAACCGAACCACTAAAATATACAGGGTGAACATCACCGCCGCAAAGTTTTGTGCTTCAGTAGCAATAGCCCATTTTGTTCAAAGTAAGTGCACTATTCTCGTTCTTCTGTCATACTGAGCTAAATATTACCTAATGTCTTACAAACAATGCTCAACTTTTCCCCTTGTGCAACCCTTCAACAATAGACTTGCCTTTGTCAAGACAGCAGCGACACGAAACAGCTGTTCCCATTATCAAGACACCTCCAAGTATCGCAATGTTGACTCCGGCAACATTCCATGTCCAAGGATTATAAAACAAATAATGCATGTTCCATGTCCAAGGAATACTGCACTGAAGTGCAGTATTCCTTGGACATGGAACATGCATTATTTGGGTTGTGCGTCCCACGCTTATACGTGTCCGAACTGTCCCGCTGCGGTAACAACAAGAAATGCCTACCACTCAATATGGTTCGTCAGGGCTTGCAGGAAGACCACTCCAATCGTGCACTGCAACCTGTCCTTTGTGTCGGTGCCATGAACAGCTGTCATCGCTGATACATAACAAATACCAGAAAATATTACTTTCACACAAAATAAACGTTGTCACACACAAATAGCGAGCACCAATCATGTCTTTAGCCAAGTGTATATTCATACATAAAAGGTCAATCCTTGAATAAAGAATCATGGCACAATTTGAACAGGTATTCTCGGACTAGCCACTTCTTGCTGACAATTGACAGAGTGCCACTCCATGTTCAGCATTCACAAAACTACGAAACAGCACTACCCAGAGCATGCACATATCCATGTGGGTGATCTAAATGACGAAAACAATATTTGCAAAGAGTGCATGGTCTATGTGCACATGACGTGGGGTGAGAGCAAGCAAGCCATACATATTGTATTACATATTAAATATAAGCTATTCATGAAACAAACTGTTGGTACTCTGAAGCAAACTCCCTTGTAGTTTGAGTTGCTCACACAAGCTATCTATAGGATTTCTTTTAATTACGTAAGCCCTTGACAAAAAATAATAATATTCTGAAACTTTCTGTGAACATGTGGAAACATACGAATGAGATCTTTTTCTTTTAATTTACTACCTTACAAAACAAAATAAATACTATATCACTGAATGCTTTACATTGGTTATACATCCTCGTCATTGAAACAAGTAGACAATATCATTTCAATGCTGATGTAAAAAGGAAAGCACGAAAATACAACTTGAAGCACCACGCAATCAAGCAACATTCCGACTACAGTAGCACAGTGTAAATTATTTGTCATGGAGAACATGGTGTGCCTCAAGAAGAAGACGAACATTTATATGGCCCAACAAAAGTTCACACACAAATATTGCAACAAGGAGTGACATGTAATAGCTCAATTACTCTACTGAATTCATATATTCTACTACTAACACTACTCGATATCAACATATCTTCAATGCAGGGGTAGGAGTGTACTCTTAGTTTAAACATATAGCAAAATTTACTAATATATGTTTACTTTAAGTTAAATCTCTTGAAATATTCATGAGGCAGCTAGGTTGAAATCCTAACCACAGAGGAATTAGATTTCTGGCCAAAAGGATTAGGGGCGCAACCACAAAAACTTAACCATCATGTGTGCTTGACAGGGTTGTGCATTTTTCTATCTACGCGCCCAGTCTTTTGATAGTTTTGCGCATTATAGCACACAAACTATTGAGTTGGGTGAATGTGAAGTGCTCTCACGACATCCATATGCTAAAACAGATACCTTTACACGGCGATAAGAGATCAAAAGGTAATCTTGTACAGTAGACAGCCAAGGTATAACATGGCACAAGGCTTGCATGACCTAAGGATAGATCGTGTAGGGCAACGCGAATCTTTAAAACATGTAATCAACGCGCACAGCGACTGGTTCTTATGGTGACATAAAATCATCATCATCATCAGCCTGACTACGTCCACTGCAGGACAAAGGCCTCTCCCATGTTTTGCCAGTCAACTCAGTCCTGCAGATGTGCTTGTTGCTTCCATTTTATACCCGCAAACTTCCTAATCACATCTGCCCACCTAACCTTCTGTCTCCGCTTGCCTAATCCGCTTGCCTTCTTCAGAAATCCAGTTAGCTCCCCTAATGACCAGTGGTTATTCTGTTCACGTGCTACATGCCCGGCCCATGTCCATTTCCTTTTCTTGATTTCAACTATGATATCCTTAACCCCGGTTTGTTCCCCAATCCACTTTGCTCTCTTCTTGTCTCTTAAGGTTACACCTATTATTTTTCTTTCAATTGGTCGCTGCGTCGTCCTCAATTTAAGCTGAACCCTCTTTGTAAGTCTCCATGTTTCTGCTCCATAGCTAAGTACCTGCAAGATGCAGCAGTTATATACCTTCCTCTTGAGGGATAATGGCAATCTACCTGTCAAAATTTTAGAGTGCTTGCCAAATGTGCTCCACCCCATTCTTATTCTTCTAGATACTTCGTGGTTCGGCTCCGCGGTTATTACCTGTCCTGAGTAGACGTAGTCTTCTACAACTTCAAGTGCACTATTACTTATCTCAAAGCGCTGCTCTCTTCCGAGGTAGTTGTACATTACTTTCGTTTTCTGCAGATTAATTTTAAGACCCACCTTTCTGCTCTCCTTGTCTAACTCCGTAATCATGAGTTGCAATTCGTCCCCTGAGTTACTCAGCAATGCAATGTCATCGGCGAAGCACAGGTTACTAAGGTACTCCCCATTAACTGGTATCTCTTACTCATCCCATTCTAGGCCTCCGAAAATTTCTTGTAAGCGCGCGGTAAATATCATTGGGGAGACGGTATCTACTTGTCACACACCCTTCTTGATTGGCATTCTGTCGCTTTCCTTATAGAGCGCTATGGTGGTAGTTAATCCTCTGTAGATCCTCTGACATAAAATAAGCCAACTTAAAAACATACCTGCCTTTCCGGTCTTTAGTTCATCATCCTCGCTGTGCCAACACGCCGCCCGGGCTATCGGTTCCTGCATTCCAGTCGTAACGCAATGATGTAACCCACTTAAGTAGTTTAGCGACTTTCTTCAACTTACCGAAGTTTGGCATTGGCTGTGCACTCTTCAGTCGCTCGTCAAAAGGCTCAAGCTTCCGCTTTTGTATAACACCAGTCACTGCTTGTCACAACACGGGGGCGTGGATTGTCTTCGTACATTCGATATTGCATCACGCGAACAACGCGGGTAATCGATAAACGAAGGAAGAAAGCACTTATAAGAGCGGGCACAACGGCGCGCGTCCGATGAGGCTGTTTTGAGCGGCAACGTACGGCCAGACATCGTCCGCCACTCGATCAATGCAGGAGAACTTTCCGACACGCGTAAACTATCCAGTAGATGAATTCAAAAGCACGATATGCATAGAATAAATGCGCGCAATATTTATCAACACGGCAATTGTGTAACCGCGGATTTGAAGTACATTTGCTCGCGCGAAGTTGGTGGTGAGCCTGCAGTACAACCACAGAACACCTGGTACAACGAGGCCTGTTGCGACTTCTGGTTTACGAACTCTATGGGTTTACAGGCTTAAGTAAGTAAGTAAGTAATTGTTTTTATTCCCTTTTGAAACAGGGCAGGCGTTTCATGCGCCACAGGAATAAAATTAGTAATAAATAAATAAATAATTGGTCTGCTGTTCGTGCACTAGCCAGGCGTCACCTCCTTCCTCCGTAAGGTCCCTAGATAAAAAGTTTTGAAAACTTTTTTTTAAAAACTTTTTTATCTAGGGACCTTACCGTGGGCGTCACGGTAGTTTTCCTGTATGCACTAAGATACGCGTGCAGGTAGCAGCACTATCGCGTTATCATACAATCATGCAAGCAAGTTTTGCAATAAATATGAAATGTAACTAACTATAGCTTCTAATCCAAGTATAGAGGTGCTTTAAATATTATATTTACTGTTATTAATTATGCAGTTATGTTTATTCTGTTTTGCATAACTAAACAAATTTCGGAACTCATGTCAAAAACAACAGTCATCTCTGAGTCTCTGCAACGCAACCCCCAATAAGTACAGATCTCAAGGGCAATGCCTTTGTGGTAGCGGCTTTGCACGATTGGAGAGAAGCACGAATGGCATGCATTCCTGTACAATAAAGAAAGAAAGGTATCCGACCAGGAATCCGTTACTCTACCTCTGTACGCAGTGCCGTAGCCAGTAGGTGTCACACCAAGCCCGTGACCCTCCTGCTCCTCCTGCGATTTTTTTTTTCTTTTTCGTCGTTGCACACACGGTGCAAAATGACCATTTGCCTGCCCCTCCCCCTCCCCTATTTTTTTTTTACATATGCCGCTGTAGCGTTGTGACAGCAAGCAGAAGCATCAGTGGCGGGGTGAGAGAGGCATGGCTGCGCCGTTCTCCCGACCGGGTTGCAGAAATTAGGTGCCTTTTCTCATCTTCTAACCACCACCACCACCTACCCCTTCTCTCCCCCTCTCCATCGCACCTTCGCTCACCACGACCTACCGGTGACGGCGGGTAGGGGGGACGCACATGTTGGCAGCCACTGCTCCCAGCCGCATTTTCGTGGTAAACGTGTAGCTCATATTCAAATACACTTTCAAATGCCCGCTACATCGATACGATGGGTTTATCTCCTGTGCTGTTCTCGTTACCCACCAATCGGCTACGTACCCTCACCCTCTGTGGAAATGGAAACTTGACGCGCCTGTGTAACTGCTCTGGATATCGCTTCACAGTACGCGATCGACTCTATGCTTGTTAGCTTTCAATATACTATATTCAAAATTAATGCGCCGAAGGTGGTCGAAATCAGTCCGGAATGCCCCAATAAAGTGTGCCTCCACATCGCGCTTCTGACACGGAATATCTCAGCAGTACTTTATTATTATTTGCTATTTTTATTTTAATCATTTTCCTGAAGAATGTATAGTATTGTTTATTTTTATTTTTGTGTATACTTGCACAAAGGCTTTATGGCTGTTTCTAGGCATGTTAAATAAATAACAAATAATTGACTATTAATGAAATCACAAGCCTCAGATATGCCTCATAAAATGCGAAATTTGACCGTTGGCGGCGTCTCGCATCCGGATGTGTAAGCATCTGTAGGGGACGAGTCATGCAAAAATAATCCCCACGAGATGACGTCAACATAGCGTCACATGATCAAGTCATTACATCGCAGCCAATTGCGTCATAGCTTGGCTAAAGGCTGGCTGATTATGAAGACTGCGCAAAACCATGCGAGGTGCCTCTTACCTGGGAGGCAGTTCAAGTAGCCGCAAGCTTCCGAAGGGGCAGGATGAACAAACCCTCGACTGATAGGGGAAAAAAAAAAAAAAAAGAGATCACTTTTGCCTTCTAGTCGTATCAAGTGAAGGCATACGAGACTCTGGAAGTTTTCGTCGTCATTATTATTATTATTATTATTATTATTATTATTATTATTATATTATTATTATTATTATTATTATTATTAAGGTCAGCGAACGTACACTTGAGCATGCATGCATGTATTCGAAGACATTATCATCATGTCAATGTTATATTCTGAAACATGATTGAAAAATGTATAGGAATACGAACAGTTTGTTCTTTGAGATTTCTGGAAGACAACATGCACATGAATGTTGAGACAGCAAGAAATTGAATTCGACTTAGGTGCTCGTTAAGGAATCACAAATTGTCGAAATTTTTGAAGTACTCCGCTACAGCGTGCTTCTTTATCATATGGTGGCTTTGGGATGCCAAATTCCCGCGATTATCCTGATTAGTAAGAGATTGAGTTTTTGTTGCCTATAAAAGCTCAATGTAAATTTCTTCGTTGTGATGTGCTTTGACAGTGGAAAATCTGCGTACTTCGATCATCAGAAATCCTGGTGCATGTTGTCATCCGAGACTCCGTCGCACACTTGATGCTAAGAGACATTAGGCTTTGCAGGCCTAATGCCAATATAATGACTCATTATATATGTGTAAAAATTTATTTTCATACGACCCCCAGGTCGCGCGATCGGATCCCAGCCGTATTTTCAATTGAGGCGATAATGCTAAAGGCTCGCGTGCTTAAATTTAGGTGCACGTTCAAAAACCCCGAGTGGTATAAATTTCCGGAGCCCTCTACAACGGCGTCTTTCATAATCGTGTGGTATTTTAGGACGTTAATACCCCAACAATTCTTACTACAGGATATCCCTTGTATAAGCTGGATATTGTTATTTCGTTCTTCCATTTCGCTCCCTTTCGCTCTTAAATTTGGCAAAACTATTCGACTTCGCAGCGAAGGTGATATCACAAGACTTTTCTGCTTTTCCTGAATAGTGATGCGTTGAAGCAGAAGGGACTGCAAGGAATGCTTCCGGAGTTTTTTTTTTTTTTTTTTCGTCGTATTGGCAATGTGATTTATGCATCGAAATCCACTTTCACAACCTAGTATCATAAAGCTTTCTTGTGTTATTGAGCATTCTTGTCGTGAGGACACGTACGCGAAAGCAAAAAAAAAAAGTGCGAAGAAAACAGATTCGATGAGACACATGATTGAGACATGCACAAACATGCCTTTACTCCCCGTTCCTTTAGCGCTTGTTCTCAGTTTTCAAGAATAAAACACCCCACCCCCAATAAAAAATTGGTACGGGGTGGGGGGGGGGGGGGTCAAAAGTCTTCGGGCTACTATCCCATTTTTATGGAAGCGTGGCATGGGAACTTTTGACCAGGACTGTACATCCAGTGCATTGGCTTAAAAAAAGCCAATTGAAAACAGCGAGGGAGCCAACCACAGAGCGTCAGTAGCAGGATCACATGCTTTCATTAGAACTTGTTACATTTAGCGAAATAGCGTTAAAGCGGCTCGTTTCGAGGAAATTGCGGCATCGGTGTAGGCGGAGTGGGTTGTGACTTGTGAACGAGGAGTCATCTTGACCCCGACTGAAAGGTCAAGAAAGATTGAAATAATAAAATTAACTGATATAACGTGCTTAGTTCGAGTGAAATTTGAACCAGGCCGCTTGCATGATAAGCAAGCAAGTGTTTTACCGCACAGCCACGATGTTGGTTCAAACTGCCTAGGAAAAAAAAAACGAAAGGAAAGCACTACATACATGATTGTCATCTACAGTGGACTAGGAGTCTCCTTAAGCGTAGCAGAAGCGTGGAATCGCGCCAGCCGTCAGAGCAGGTGAATCGAGCAACTTAAAGACAAAGCGCCGAGACATATTTATACATCATCATGAGCGGGAACCATCATCAAAGCGAACTGCTGCGCAGGATAATTCGCGTGTTGCCTTGCGGACGCGCAGAGAGCCCTTCGCTGTTACGCAAAAGGAATAATTGTGGCGCAGTGTGCACTTAACAACTGTGCTTGCAATAGGCATTCAATGATACGTTGAAATTACCAATGTTGCGCGCGCAGTTGTTCGTTTATTTAAGCACGGTTGAGGCACTTTGGGAGGTTAAACCCGTGACATATCAATCAACGGTTGAGGCACTTTGGGAGGTTAAACCCGTGACATATCAATCAACGGTTGAGGCACTTTGGGAGGTTAAACCCGTGACATATCAATCAACGGTTGAGGCACTTTGGGAGGTTAAACCCGTGACATATCAATCAACGGTTGAGGCATAGAACTGAAGTAAGCTAGCAGTTTCGAAGGTGATGCGCACAAGGCGCGCGATCACGCTATCGCCATCGGCTCTTAAAGGCGAAGCTCGATTTTTTTTGTTGTTGTTTCCTGGCTTGCGCACAGCATCTTAACACAGCCGCTATTTAGAGAGGCGCGGCAACGCTTTCCTAAGTAACCTTAGAAAGGCTTCGTTGAGGGAGTTTACACAAATCAACCACCGCAATGATTTTAAGAGTCCGTCTAGTTCGAGCGGAGTTACGAAAATTTGTCGCACGCTGCAGTTGCTTTCTCTACTCCTTACGAGCCCGCAGGAAGGGAGGGATGGCAGAGGGGAAAGTTACGTCGCGAACGCGTCATGAACCTCGACATCTTAAATGCGAAACACTTTAGCGAACTTCGTTCGGCGGCTATGAGCGTATCTATCTATCTATCTATCTATCTATCTATCTATCTATCTATCTATCTATCTATCTATCTATCTATCTATCTATCTATCTATCTATCTATCTATCTATCTATCTCTCTAGGCTGTTCGGATAATGGTGTCGTTACTAAGATTGGTATGCCATAACATGACTTTTTGCGGCGTTGAATTCGTGAAGCAATAAAGAAGCTCTTTTAGTGTATCCGTTTCATGGTTACTTGAAAAAGTGCTTCAGGGCCCCTTTAAACCACGAGCAATTATGCGCTTGAAATGTTTTCGAACTTGCACTACGTGGTCTTAAGGGTATGTACACGCAGTGTAACGTGTGTGCTTTTTGTAATGGGTGGCCGGCTTTAAACTTCGAGGTCATTAGGATAGTCACGTGTACGCTTGTACCACGCAATATTACTGCGATATTACAGTGTTATATTGTGAAGCCTGCGTACGTAACGCGTGTGTTCGTAAAACATGAAAGTTATTTTCACTGCATTTCTAGGCAGAGGAAGCTTTTTTTCTGAACAGACGCGTGGAGAAGACCTGCTTGCCATGCAAACGGCCTAGCTGTGTTCGACGCTCACGCGAACCTATTCATTTTATTGGCATCTTTCTCGATTTCTCGGTCACGGCCTTTGGCCCTGTCTAAGAATGTTCGGCGATGGCTGAAATGGTGCGCTCTCCGGAAGGTTGGATAGAGTGTCCAAAGATGAGGGGGAGGAGTCCAAG